TGCAAGTCCACAGGATGCAACACATGAGGACAGGAAAGAAGATAGCGCAATCTGTGATGACTTGCGGACACCAACGCCTCCTAGTCTGACTGGAGTTTAGCTTGGTCCCACTGTACATCTTCTAGAGTAAGGTTAAGTACTTTTATAAAAGTCTGCCTCAGGATACCGTCATATCCGTGCAGTATAGGGTTATCATATGAAGGTGCACATCTTAGAAAATATGTTAATCTAGGAAGACTCAAGCACTTTGTGAGGAGGTACAAGGTATCATGGGAGTCAAGATTGCCTGTTCGTTGTTCCATTCTCCTCATCTCTTCCAGTTTCTTCCTGAGAATTGAATCAGTATTTAGAACTGAGCAGTATTTAGATAAAGGTAGGGAAGTTTTTATTGCACTTATGGATTTAGAAAAGACATATGATAGAGTGGATAGGGGAGCAATGTGGCAGATGTTGCAAGTGTATGGAATAGGTGGTAAGTTACTAAATGCTGTAAAGAGTTTTTATGAGGATAGTGAGACTCAGGTTAGGGTGTGTAGAGGGAGACTACTTCCCGGTAAAAGTAGGTCTTAGACAAGGATGTGTAATGTCACCATGGCTGTTTAATATATTTATAAATGGGGTTGTAAAAGAAGTAAATGCTAGGGTGTTCGGGAGAGGGGTGGGATTAAATTATGGGGAATTAAATACAAAATGGGAAGTGGCACAGTTACTTTTTGCTGATGATACTGTGCTTATGGGAGATTCTAAAAAAAAATTGCAAAGGTTAGTGGACGAATTTGGGAATGTGTGTAAAGGTAGAAAGTTGAAAGTGAACATAGAAAAGAGTAAGGTGATGAGAGTATCAAATGATTTAGATAAAGAAAAATTGGATATCAAATTGGGGAGGAGGAGCATGGAAGAAGTGAATGTTTTCAGATATTTGGGATTTGAAGTGTCAGCAGATGGATTTATGAAGGATGAGGTTAATCATAGAATTGATGAAGGAAAAAAGGTGAGTGGTGCATTGAGGTATATGTGGAGGCAAAAAATGTTATCTATGGAGGCAAAGAAGGGAATGTATGAAAGTATAGTAGTACCAACACTCTTAAATGGGTGTGAAGCTTGGGTTGTAAATGCTGCAGCGAGGAGACGGTTGGAGGCAGTGGAGATGTCCTGTCTAAGAGCAATGTGTGGTGTAAATATTATGCAGAAAACTCGGAGTGTGGAAATTAGGAGAAGGTGTGGAGTTAATAAAAGTATTAGTCAGAGGGGTGAAGAGGGTTTGTTGAGGTGGTTTGTTCGTTTAGAGAGAATGGATCAAAGTAGAATGACATGGAGAGCGTATAAATCTGTAGGGAACGGAAGGCGGGGTAGGGGTCGTCCTCGAAAAGGTTGGAGGGAGGGGGTAAAGGAGGTGTTGTGGGTGAGGGGTTTGAACTTCTAGCAAGCGTGCGTGAGCGTGTTAGATAGGAGTGAATGGAGACAAATGGTATTTGGGACCTGACGATCTGTTGGAGTGTGAGCAGGGTAATATTTAGTGAAGGGATTCAGGGAAACCGGTTATTTTATATAACCGGACTTGAGTCCTGGAAATGGGAAGTACAATGCACTCTAAAGGAGGGGTTTGGGATATTGGCAGTTTGGAGAGTTATATTGTGTATTTTTATACGTATATACTTCTAAGCTGTTGCATTCTGAGCACCTCTGCAAAAACAGTGATTATGTGTGATTGAGGTGAAAGTGTTGAATGATGAAAGTTTTTCTTTTTGGGGATTTTCTTTCTCTTTGGGTCACCCTGCCTCGGTGGGAGACGGCCGACTTGTTGAAAAAAAATATATATATATATATATATATATATATATATATATATATATATATATATATATATATATATATATATATATATATATATATATATATAAAAGCAAGGAATTCGCAAGAGCAGGCGAAATATACACAAACACTGATCTCTGGCTGAAGGAGACTCGAACCTACGAACCTTGGAACAAGGTATGCAGTGCTATACCATTCTGGACAATACCTTGGCGTCCAGCTTGTGCTAGACTTTGATCCAAGGCAGCCAGCTTTCAGGGAGAAGGCTTACAGCTTTTCATCTCATCCCAAATCTTGATTGTTGTAGCTATGATCTGGGAAAGTTTAACGGGCTCTGAAACTAGACCTGCTACCCTCAACAACTACAAACAGTCACACTGGGATGGCCCAGTGGTGGACAATATAGTCTCAACACTACTTCAGAGTGTGCCGGGGAAGGATACAGCCAGCTTCCTGGCAGTGAGAGCTCTCATGCAGGAGATTTTCTGTTGGCTGTTCCCAAATATCTTTGGCACACGCCTCGACCCACAGATCATCTGCATCGGTGTTGCCCTTACTTCTTTTGTGTTCAATGAGTCTGTCAGAAAGAGAACGGCCAGTTTCTCCAGATACTGAAGAGAACAAGAGGATCATGAAATTGAAGAGACACATGGGGCATCTATAGCGGGAGGAGAGATACGAACTAGATTACTGCTAAGGGTGTAAGTTTGACGAAAAGTAAGTTTGATGTCTAAGGAACGGAAAGAGTTTTTGAGATTAGAAAGATTGGAAATCCAGGGAAGGCAGAGAACAGAAGTAGAGAGTTTGGGAGAGAAGAAAGTCCGTTTAGCACGTGAGAAAGTAAAAGGACACAAGTGGAACTAATGTGACATTTTATTGTGGCAACGTTTCGCTCTCCAGGAGCTTCATCAAGCCTTAACGGTTTAATAAAGCTCCTGGAGAGCGAAACGTTGCCACTATGTCACCTTAATTGCACTTGTGTCCTTTTACCTAACATATTGCCGGTAATTCTATCAACATTAATACGCGTGAGAAGGCAGAGTTGATGAAATGGGAAGGATATCCAAGACGAGGGAACGAATTATGAAGAGTGAAGTTGTCCGATTCAAGGAACTGAGGGCCAGAAATGCGGAGGGCACGGGCACTCTTCTTGACAGAAGGAGTATGGTAAGAAAAATAGTGAATGTACATGATCCGGGAAGCTGCCAACCTTCTTCAAGACGGCGACGTAAGTGGCATAGTCACTCCTGGCTTCCTGTGGTGACTCCAGCAGTTTCTTCTCAACTTCCTTCTTCACCTTCATGTAATACATCTGTGAACACATTTATAGTTTAATTTGACGAGCTCCTTAGCCAGACCCAAGCATTAATTTGATGAGTTAAAGTCTATCGATTGTACGTGGGTCATTAAGGTCGAATTTCTTGTAAACACTGACATAAAGAATACTTTAATCCCTTAAAAAAAGAATAAACTCAGTGGATATACTCTTAGGGATATATACCACTCTATTTTAAACACAGATATACGTCTCTGTGAATAAACACAGATATGTACCTTTTTGTGAATAGACACGCAAAATATACATAAACATCTCTCGGAGGATATGCCGATATATACCTCTACTTACGGCTCAAAGACGCCGCACATAGTAATGAAAATACATAGACTATGCTACCTGCTTCTCAAAAAAATCTAAGTAACTGATTTTGGTAAAGAAAGTAAACAGAACATAAGAAAGGCTAACTTTACTCCAATAATCTGAATAAATTCATGGAAAGTGAGAGAACGTGAAGCTTTTCTCATTTGTACTCGGACCCTCCTTTAAAATATCTGCTTCTCTTTTGTTCCCTTCAAGGGTGATGATACCTTCAAGGGTGATGATGATACCTTCAAGGGTGATGATACCTTCAAGGGTGATGATACCTTCAAGGGTGATGATGATACCTTCAAGGATGATGATACCTTCAAGGGTGATGATACCTTCAAGGGCGATGATGATACCTTCAAGGGTGATGATACCTTCAAGGGTGATGATACCTTCAAGGGTGATGATGATACCTTCAAGGATGATGATACCTTCAAGGGTGATGATACCTTCAAGGGCGATGATGATACCTTCAAGGGTGATGATACCTTCAAGGGTGATGATACCTTCAAGGGTGATGATGATACCTTCAAGGATGATGATACCTTCAAGGGTGATGATACCTTCAAGGGCGATGATGATACCTTCAAGGGCGATGATGATACCTTCAAGGGTGATGATACCTTCAAGGGTGATGATGATACCTTCAAGGATGATGATACCTTCAAGGGTGATGATACCTTCAAGGGTGATGATACCTTCAAGGGTGATGATACCTTCAAGGGTGATGATACCTTCAAGGGTGATGATACCTTCAAGGGTGATGATGCCTTCAAGGGTGATGATACCTTCAAAGGTGATGATACCTTCAAGGGTGATGATACCTTCAAGGATGATGATACCTTCAAGGGTGATGATACCTTCAAGGGTGATGATACCTTCAAGGGTGATGATACCTTCAAGGGTGATGATACCTTCAAGGGTGATGATACCTTCAAGGATGATGATACCTTCAAGGATGATGATACCTTCAAGGGTGATGATACCTTCAAGGGTGATGATACCTTCAAGGGTGATGATACCTTCAAGGGTGATGATACCTTCAAGGGTGATGATACCTTCAAGGGTGATGATACCTTCAAGGATGATGATACCTTCAAGGATGATGATACCTTCAAGGGTGATGATACCTTCAAGGGTGATGATACCTTCAAGGGTGATGATACCTTCAAGGGTGATGATACCTTCAAGGGTGATGATACCTTCAAGGGTGATGATGCCTTCAAGGGTGATGATGCCTTCAAGGGTGATGATACCTTCAAGGGTGATGATACCTTCAAGGATGATGATACCTTCAAGGATGATGATACCTTCAAGGATGATGATACCTTCAAGGATGATGATACCTTCAAGGATGATGATACCTTCAAGGATGATGATACCTTCAAGGATGATGATACCTTCAAGGGTGATGATACCTTCAAGGGTGATGATACCTTCAAGGGTGATGATACCTTCAAGGGTGATGATACCTTCAAGGGTGATGATACCTTCAAGGGTGATGATACCTTCAAGGGTGATGATACCTTCAAGGGTGATGATACCTTCAAGGGTGATGATAACTTCATATTGATGAAGCGATCCAGGTCATCGAAACGAACCTGATTACCTGCCATTTCCAAGGTGCTCCATGACCTCGATGAGTTAAGTGCTTCATCCGTGATAATAAAAGGACTTATTCTCATCTGATATTGCACATTATGCACAGTACAATATATAATTGTATTTTCGTTGTTATTATTATTATTATTATTATTATTATTATTATTATTATTATTATTATTATTATTATTATTATTATTATCAGCAATATTATTAGCCTTATTATTAGTACTATTAATACGAGCATTATTAAAATTATCATTACATTCATGGGAGTATTAAACGTGCAAGGGCTAAAAGTACAGGATTAAGTGAAAACAAAATTAATAAGTATAAGCTGAGACAAGAGATGAGTAATATTACATCAGTAACACAGTCAACGACTCATCGTCTTACACTTGTATTAAGTATCAGAGTGACGTACCTCTGATACCTGACTTAATAACATGAGCGTTGTTCATTTGTCACTCCAGTACCCTGAGGACGCCCACAGCTGAACACACGGGGAAGAAGAAGAAGAAGAAGAAGAAGAAGAAGAAGAAGAAGAAGAAGAAGAAGAAGAAGAAGATGAAGAAGAAGAAGAAGAAGAAAGAAGAAGAAGAAGAAAGAAGAAGAAGAAGAGAAGAAGAGAAGAAGATGAAGAAGAAAGAAGAAGAAGAAGAAGAAGAAGAAGAAGAAGAAGAAGAGAAGAAGAAGAAGAAGAAGAAGTGAAGAAGAAGAAGAAGTAGAAGAGAGAAGAAGAAGAAGAAGAAAAAAAAAAGAAAAGAAGAAGAAGAAGAAGAAGAAGAAGAAGAAGAAAGAAGAAGAAGAAGAAGAAGAAGAAGAACAGAGAGAAGAGGAAGAAGAAGATGAAGAAGAAAGAGGAAGAAGAAGAGGAAAGAAGAAGAAGAAGAGAAGAAGAAAGAAGAATAAAGAAGAAGAAAGAAGAGAAGAAGAAGAAAAGAAAAGAAAGAGGAAGAGGAAGATGAAGAGGAAGATGAAGAAAGGAAGATGAAGAAGAAGAAGAAGAAGAAGAAGAAGAAGAAGAGAAGAGAAGAATTGAAGAGAAGAAGAAGAAGAAGAAGAAAAGATGATGAAGAAAGAAGAAGGAAAAGAAGAAGACGAAGAAGAAAGAGAAGAGAGAAGGAAGAAGATGAGAAGAAGAGAATGAAGAAGAAGTAAGAAGAGTAATGAAGAAGATTGAAGAGGAAGTAAGATGAGGAGAATGGATTTAGAAGAAGAGAAGAAGAAAGAAGAAGAAGAAGAAGATAAGAAGTGCAGAAGAGAAGAAGAAGAAGAAGAAGGAAGAAAAGAGAGAAGAAGGAAAAGAAGAAAAAGAAGAAGGGAAAAAAGAAAGAAGAAGAAGAAGAAGGAAGAAGAAGAAAGAAGAAGAAGAAGAAGAAGAAGAAGAAGAAAAAAGAAGAAGAAGAAGAAAAGAAGAAGAAGAAGAAGAAGAAGAAGAAGATGATGATGAAGAAGAAGAAGAAGAAGAAGGAAGAAGAAGAAAGAAGAAGAAGAAGAAGAAGAAGAAGAAGAAGAAAAAGAAGAAGAAGAAAGAAGAAGAAGAAGAAGAAGAAGAAGGAAGAAGAAGAAGAAGAAGAAGAAGAAGAAAAGAAGAAGAAGAAGAAGAAGAAGAAGAAGAAGAAGAAGAAAAGAAGAGAAGAAGAAGAAGAAAAGAAGAGAAGAGAAAGAGAAGAAGAAGAAGGAAAAGAAGAAGAAGAAGAAGAAGAAGAAGAAGAAGAAGAAGAAGATAGAAGAGAAGAAGAAGAAGAAGAAGAAGAAGAAGAAGAAGAAGAAGAAGATAAGAAGAAGAGAAGAGGAAGAGAAGAAGAAGAAAGAAGAAGAAGAAGAAGAAGAAGAGAAGAGAAGAAGAAGTAGAAGAAGAAGAAGAAGAGAAGAAGAAGAAGAAGAAGAGAAGAAGAAGAAGAAGAAGAAGAAGAAGAAGAAGAAAAGAAAGAAAAAAAAGAAGGAAGAAGAAGATATGAAAAGATAGAAGGAAGAAGAAGAAAAGAAAGAAGAAGAAGAAGGAAGAAGAAGAAGAAGATAGAGAAGAGTGAAGAAGAAGAAGAAGAAGAAGAAGAAGAAGAGAAGAAGAAGAAGAGAAGAAGAAGAAGAAAAGAAGAAGAAGAAGAAGAAGAGAGAGAAGAAGAAGAAGAATGAAGAAAAAGTAAGAAGAAGAAGAGAAGAAAAGAAGTGAAGAAGAGAAGAGAAGAAAAAGAAGAAGATGAAGAATAAGAAGAAGAAGATAAGAAAGAGAGAGAAGATGAAGAAGAAGAAGAACGAAGAAGAAGGAAGAGAAGAAGAGAAGAAGAAAAGAAGAAGAAGAAGAAGAAGAAAGAAGAAGAAGATAGAAGAAGAAGTGAATGAGAGAATGAAGAAGTGAAGGAAGAAGGAAGCATGAATGAAGATGAAGAAGAAGAAGAAGAAGGATAGAAGAAGATGAGAGGAAGAAGACGAAGAAGAAGAGAAGAGAGATAGAAGAAGAAGGAAAACAAGAAGAGAAAAGAAGATGAAGACGAGAAGAAGAGAGAAGAAGAAGAATAGAAGTTAAGAGAATGAAGAAGAAGAGAAGTTGAAGAAGAAGATGAAAGGAAGTCTAGAAGAAGAAGTAGAGAACGATATGAAGATAAGAATAGAAGAATAATGACAAGATCTGATAGAAGAAGAAGAAGAGAAGTAGAAGAGGAAAAGGAAAAGAGAAGAAGAAGAAGAAGAAGAAGAAGGAGAAGAAGAAGAAGTAAGAAATGAGAATATGAAAGAGTAATAAGAAGGGAAGAAGAAATGTAGAGAAGAAGTAGAGAAGAAGTGTAAGAAGTAGAAGATGTCAAGAAGAAGAGGAGAACGTATGAGTTTAAGAATGAAGAAGATAGGTGAATAAGAATATGTGAGTTAAGAAGAAGTAGAAGAAGAAGAAATGAAGAAGATGAGAATGAAGAGAGAATAAGATGAAGAGAAAAAGAAGTAAGAAAGAAAAGAAAGTAGAAGAAAAGAAGAAGAGTAGAAGATAAAGATAGTGAAGAAGATGAAGAGAAGAAGAGATAAGAAGAAGTGGAAGAAGAGAAGAAAAAGAAGAAGAAGTAGATGTAGATGAAGATAAAAAAAGTTGGGAAGTGTGAAATGAAAAAGAAGAAGAAGAAGAAAGAAGAAGTAGAAGAAGAAGAAGAAGAAGAAGAAGAAGAAGAAAGAAGAGAAGAGAAGAGAGAAGAAAGAAGAAGAAGAAGAAGAAAGAAGAGAAAAGGGAAAATGTATAGAGAAGAAGAGAAGAAAAAGAAGAAGAAGAAGAAGAAGAAAGAAGAAGGAAGAAGAAGATGAAGAAGAAGAAGAAGAAGAAAAGAGAAGAATGAAGAAAAGAAGAAGAAGAAAGAAGAAGAGAAGAAGAAAGGGAAAAAGAAGAAGAAGAAAGAAGAAGAAGAGAAGAAAAAGAAGGAAAAAGAAGAAGAAGAAGAGAAGAAGAAGAGAGAAGTAGAAGAAGAAAAGAAGAAGAAGAAGTAGAGAGAAAAGAAGAAGAAGAAGAAAAAGAAGAAAAAAAAGAAGAGAAGAAGAAGTAAGAAGAAGAAAAGAAGAGAAAAGAAGAAGAAGAAGAAGAAGAAGGAAGAGGGAAAAAGATGAGAAGAAGAAGAAGAAGAAAAAAAGAAGAGAAGAGAAGAAGAGGAGATGAAGATAAGAAGAAGAAAGAAGAAAGAAGAAGAAGAAGAAGATAGAAGAAAAAAGAGAATGAGAAGAAGAAGAAAAGAAGATAAGAAGAAAAAGAAGAAAAAAGAAAAGAAGAAAAAAAAAATATAGAAGAAGAAAAAAAAGAAGAAGAAGAAGAAGAAGAAGAAGAAAAAGAAAGAAGGATATTAGAAGAAGAAAGAAAGAAGTAAAAAGGAAAAGAAGAGAAGAGAAGAAGAATAAGAAGAAGAAGAAGAATGAAGAAAAGAAGGAAGAAGAAGGAAGAAGAAAAAGAAAAAAAAAAAAAAAAAAAAAAGAAGAAGAAAAGAATGAAAGAAGAAGAAGAAGAAGAAGAAGAGAAGAAGAAGAAAAGAAGTAGAAGAAAGAAGATGAAGAAGAAGAAAAAGAAAAAAAAGAAAAGAAGAAGAAGAAGAAGAAGAAGAAGAAGAAAAAGAAGAAGAAGAAGAAGAAGAAGAAGAGGAAGATGAAGAAAGAAGAAGAAGAAGAAAAAAAAAGAAGAAGAAGAAGAAGAAAGAAGAAGAAGAAAAGAAGAAGAAGAAGAAGAAGAAGAAAGAAAGAAAAAAGGAAGAAGAAAAAGAAGAAGAAGAAGAAGAGAAAAAGAAGAAGAAAAGAAGAAAAGAAGTAGAAGAAGAGAAAGATGAAGAAGAAAAAAAAAGGAAGAAAAAAGAAGAGAAAGAAGAAAGAAGAGAAGAAGAAGAAGAAGAAGGGAAAAAGAAGAAGGGAAAAAGAAGAAAAGGAAGAAGAAAAGAAGAAGAAGAAGAAGAAGAAGAAAAGAAGAAAAGAAGATGAAGAAGAAAAGAAAAGAAGAAGAAGAAATGAAGAAAGAAGAAAAAAAGAAGAAGAAAGAAGAAGAAGAAAAAAAAAGAAAAGAAGAAGAAGAAGAAGAAGAAAAAAAAAGAAGAAGAAGAAGAGGAAGAAAAGAAAAGATAAAAAGAAGAAGAAGAAAAGAAGAAGAAGAAGAAGTAGAAGAAGAGAAGATGAAGAAGAAGAGAAAAGGGAAAAAGAAGAAGAAAAGAAGAAAAGAAGAAGAAGAAGAAGAAAAGAAGAAGAAAGAAGAAAAAAAAAAGAAAAGAAAAGAAGAAGAAGAAGAATAAAAAAGAAGAAGAAGAAGAAAAAGAAGAAAAAGAAAGATGAAGAAAAAGAAAAAAGAAGAAGAAAGAAAAGGAAGAAAAAAAAGAAGAGAAGAAGAAGAAGAAAGAAGAAGAAGAAAAGAAGAAGAAGAAGAAAGAAGAAGAAGAAAGAAGAAGAAGAAGAAGAAGAAGAAGAAAAGAAAAGAAGAAGAAAAGAAGAAGAAGAAGAAGAAGAGAAGAAGAAGAAGAATGAAGAAAGAAGAAGAAGAAGAAGAAGAAAGGGAAAAAGAAGAAGAAAAGAAGAAGAAAAAAAGAAGAAGAAAAGAAGAGAAGAAGAAAAAAGAAGAAGAAGAAGAAAAAGAAGAAGAAAAAAAAAGAAGAAGAAGGGAAGAAGAAAAAAGAAGAAAAAAGGAAAAGAAGAAAGAAGAAGAAGAAGAAGAAGAAGAAGAAGAAGGAAGAAGAAAGAAGAAGAAAAGAAGAAGAAGAGAAGAAAAGAAGAAGAAGAAGAAGAAGAAAAGAAGAAGAGAAGAGAAGAAGAAGAAGAAGAAGTAAGAGAAGGAAAGAAAAAGAAGAAAGAAAAAGAAGAAAAAAGGAAGAAGAAGGAAGAAGAAGAAGAAGAAGAAGAAGAGAAGAAAAAAGAAAAAGAAGAAGAAAAAAAAGAAGAAGAAAGGATAGAAGAAGAAGAAGAAAAGAAGAAAGAAGAGAAGAAAAGAAGAAGAGAAAAAAAGAAGAGAAGAAAAAGAAAAAGAAGAAGAAGAAGAAGAAGAAGAAGATGAAGATGAAGAAGAAGAAAAAGAAAGGAAGAAAAAAAAAAAGAAGAAGATAAAAGAGAAGAAAAAGACGAAGAAGAAAAGAAGAAGAAGAAGAAGAAGAGAAGAAGAAGAAGGGAAAAAGAAGAAGAAGAAGAAGAAGAAGAAAGAAGAGAAGAGAAAAAGAAGAGAGAAAGAAGAAGAAGAAAGGAAGAGAAGAAGTGAAAGAAGAAATGAAGGAAGAGAAAAGAAGGGAAAAAAGAAAAAAAAAAAAAGGAAGAAAGAAAAAGAAAAAAAAGAAGAAGAAGAATAGAAGAAAGAAGAAGAAGGGAAATAAGAATGAGAAGGAAAATGAGAAGAAAAAGGGAAAAAAAATTTGAAGAAGAAAAAAGAAAGAAGGAAAGAAATGAAGAAGAAGAAGAAGAAGAGAAGAAAAGGGGAAAAAGTGAAGTATAGTAAGTAAAGAAGATAGAAGTAAATGAAGAAAAGAAGATAAGTAGAAGAAAAAAAAGAAGAAGAAGAAAAAAACGATTACCAGAATTTGAAATGCAAGAACACTAAAGCAAATATTCACCTCCTTGGCACAAATTATCACTATTTAAAACTTTCACTCACCCCTTTAGTGAGGAAGATGTAGCCAACGATGGTGAAGACGAGGAAAACATCGGCAATGGTGAAGAAGATGAGGGCGCTGGTGACGGGTTCCTCCCCCACCAGGAGGGAGATGATGCGAGCCAGCGAGGAGAACACCCCAGCGATGGCCTGGCCGGATATGACACTACTGACGCAGGAAGACGGGAACAAGCCAGCCAGACCGTACAAGGAGCCCTGCAAGACAGCCGTGCACACTACCCCGCACGGCATTCATGTTACAGTTTGGTGGTAGTCCGACACTATGCTGCTCGAAGGAGGAGTAAGCCTGCACCACTTCTTGCACTGAATGACCTACACGGGTTAGCTTCATCATGAAATACAATACACTACAATTCGACCAAAGATGGCGTGTTTAAAACGTAATTCTACTTCGAGTATACTGGGTGATGGTTGTACGAGCGATTACCCTCGTGGCTGCTCTCACACCAGAGATGTTGAAACAACAGTGTAACACCATTGGTTGTTCGGATAAATGTATCAAAAAACATCTGGTTGCCTGAAATAATGTACAATATAGAAATCGTCTATAATTCATTAGTTGGAAAACCAGTTTTGCGGAACAGTGTCTATGTTGCTTTTTCACTACTGTTTAATTCCTTTTCAACATATATTTGCCTTAGGAGCACTGTCTGCCTTGCCAACACTATATATTGAGGTTTAACAGTCACATGACTAAAGCCACCTGATTTCCACCTGCCAATCATATTGAATGTTCATCTGCCAGAACCTGAGTTGATAAGTATATTCGGTAAACTAAGATGATCTTAAGTGTGATAAATCTTGCTGTGGAATACTGCTCAAACTCCCTTTTTGAAACTATCAAGTGAAGTTAGTCATCTTCAGCAAGGAAGGTTGAAGAATAATGTATACCTGTTACCAGATGGCCTATTTCATTAGGTCACACCTCTTGGTTTGTACCATTATGCAGTGAACAATATCTCTCTACTGTGAAAAGGTTGTCAAAGCCTAGAAAAGTCCTGATGTATACCGTTAGTTTGTTTAGTATTGGGTAACAAGCCAGCATCAATGGCAGGTTTCTTGGGCTACAAGTCTCTGTCTCATATGTTACGTAAAGTTTGTCAGGAAACAGGACAATTGTTTCCTGACGCAGGTCTTAGTCATATGATGACCCGCCATTGGAGCTTTTGATCCTCTGACCGAGGCCTTCCGCTTGCTTACCCGCCCACCCCATTAAAAAAAATCAGATTAATAATCTCTCTGGGTCTCAATTACATCATGGCTAAGGTAAATAAATATAGCTTTAACTATTCATAAGCTTAATATTCTGTCTGTTTATATACCTGGAGAGTGTTTCGGGGGATCAACGCCCCCCCGGCCCAGTCTGTGACCAGGCCTCGTGGTGGATCAGAGCCTGATCAACCAGGCTGTTACTACTTGCAGCACACAAACCGACGTACAAACAACAGCGCACCTAAAGTCAGTACCTGACTTTAGGTGCCTGTCAAGCGCTTTCTTCAAGACAGTCAGAGGTCCATTGGTAACCCCCTCTTAATTATGCTGGGAGGCAGTCGAACAGTCTTGGACCCCTGACACTTATTGTGTTGTCTCTTAGCGTACTCGTGGAGCCCCTGCTTTTCAATATCATATATCTTTCTCCCTGCATTCCAGGGAGTACAAATCAAAGGACTTCAACCGTTCCCAGTAATTTTGATGTTTTATAGTCCTTATACATGCCGTGATCTTTCTCTGTACATTCTCCAGGTCTGCAATTTTACCTGCTTTGAAAGGAGCCGTTAGAATGCAGAAATATTCCAGCCTAGAGAGAACAAGTAATTTGAAGAGAATCATCATGGGTTTGGCATCCCTAGCTATGAAGGTTCTTATTATCCATTCTATCATTTTCCTAGCAGATTTGGTAGATACATTGTTGTTATCTTTGAAAGTGAAATTCTCTGACAATATCTCTCCCAGGTCCTTCACATTTGTTTTTCACTCTATTGTATGACTGGCATTTGTTTTATACTCAGATACACTTTTAATTTCCTCGAGTTTTCCATGCTGGAGAAATTGAAATTTCTCTCTATTGAACTTCATATTGTTTTCCGCAGCCCATGTAAAGATTTTGTTGATGTCCGCTTGGAGTCTTTCAGTGTCATCGATGAGTGACACTGTCATGCAAATTCGGGTGTCATCTGCAAAGGAAGACACTAGTCTGTCGCTTATGTCTCTGTCTATGTCAGATAAGAGGATAAGGAGCAGGATGGGGGTGAGTACTGTGCCCTGTGTAACAGAACTTTTCACTGTGGCTGCCTCAGACTTTATTCTGTTTACTATTACCCTTTGTAGTCTATTTGTTATAGATCCATCTACCAACTTTTCCTATTATTTTTTTATCACACATTTTGTGCGGTATTACACCAGGGTCGCACGTGTTGCAGGCTTTTGCAAAGTCTGTGCATACTACATCTGCATTTTGTTTGTTCTCCAGTGCATGTAAGACCTTGTCATAGTGGTCCAGTAACAGACAGGAGCGGTCTGCTTCTTCTAAACTCATGTTGCCCTGGATTGTGTAACTGATGGATATCTAGGTGAGTGGCGATCTTGCTTTTTAGGACCCTTTCAAAGATTTTTATGATAGTGCTATAGGTATGTAATTCTTTGCAATTGCTTTATTGCCACCTTTGTGTTTTTAGTAACTGTGGGATAACCCGTGTCCATGCTCCCTCCCCATAAAATGTTGAAAACACGTAGTTCTTGATGAACACGGAGTTCCATGAGTCTGGGCCTGGGGCAGAGTGCATGGGCATGTCATTTATATCTTTTTCGAAGTCTTGTGTTGTTAGGATAATATCAGAGATATTTTAATTAACCAAATTTTGAGTCTCGATCATAAAAAATTCGGTTAAATTTTCGACTATTAGTCCTGTTAATGGCTCATTAAATGCTGAGTCACATTGGGACTTTAGTATCTCACTCATTTCATTTTTGTCATCTGTGTAAGTCCCATCTCGTCTAAACAGGGGTCCGGTACTGGATATTGTTTGGCTTTAGATCTGGCATAAGAAAAGAAATATTTTGTTTTGTTTTTTCCAATTTCGCTGATGGCTTAAGTTCTTCCCGAGTTTCTTGTCTCCTGTATGATTCCTTAAGCTTAACTTCGATATTTGCTGTTTCTCTTACCAGTGCCTCCCTTCATATTTCAGATATACTGGCCCCTTTCAGCAACTCTGTGATAATTTGTCTTTACCAGTATAGGGAGTGTCTCTCTCTTTCTAGTTTACATCTTCTCTTCTTTTTTCTTAAAGTAATGTGCCTTGAGTATACCTCAAGTGCAACAGAGTTAATTCTTTCTAGGCTAAGGTTCGGATCCATGTTGTTTAGGATATCTTCCCAGCTGAAGTTTAATTTAGTGAAGGCACCTTCATAACTGGTCACCTTTTGCTGGCCAGGAGCCCCGCGCATACATGTCTGTGCCCCTATCATGTTGTAGTCTGAGTGTGTTGTCTTGAATACTGTTATATTTCGTATCAGATCATCTTTGTTGGTGAAGATGAGGTCTAGTGTGTTTTCTAGTATTGTTGGTTCTATTATTAGCTGGTTTAAAGATAATTTGTTGCAGAGATTTAATAGCTCATGTGTGTGAATTTTCGTCTGAGTTGCCTCCTGGGGTTATCTCTGCTAAAACATTATTTGCTACATTCCTCCACTTTAGGTGTCTTAAGTTGAAATCGCCCAGCAGCAAGATGTTTCGAGCAGGAGTTAGGAGATTTTTCAGACAGTGGTCAATTCTGAAAAGCTGTTCCTGGAATTGTTGGAAAGTAGCATCCAGAGGTTTGTATACAACCACAATGGCAAGGTTTTGGTTGTCGATCTTTACTGCCAAAAGTTCAACTTTATCACATGAAGTGTTTAGTAGTTCTGAGCAAATGAGCGTCTCTGTGACATACAGGCCGATGTCTGTTTACTCTGTCGCATCCAAACAGGTTATAGCCTGGGATCCATATTTCGTTGTCAAAGTGATCCTTCATGTGGGTCTCTGTGAAAACGGCATACATTGTGTTTTACTCCGCGAGCAGTCCTTTGATAAAAGGCATTTTGATGTTTTTTGATTGCTTTAGACCCTGTTTCATTGCAAAAATAAATGTCATCGTATTGATGGTACATAGGGGGACTTTGCTGGCATTAATATGTGTTGTTCTGTAGTGAAGGCCAATGACTTTGCCTCCACTCCAAAAGTGTTCTGAGTTTGTGTAGGATTTCTGTCATTTCTTGCTAGTTTCCTTGTTTTCCTGGCACTAAAAAACCACTATCTCTGGAGGGGTTATGGCTCCCTTTGTTACCCCATAGTCTGGACAATCTGCATCTTCTTGTCCCCTTAAGGTGGTGTGTCTGACAATTTAGATTCTAGCATTGTCTTTCATGGACTGACGAGTGACACATTTCTGGGTGAAATAGGTTACAGGAAGAAGAGTTGCATTTCCTGTTGTCTTGTGTTTGTGACATTTTTTGGGATGTTCAAAACTGCACGTCCCACCTGTTTTTTCTAGATACTTCATGCCTGCAGATACCCAAAGAAATAGAATTTGCATAGATTTGATTTCTGTTACTCAAGATTTTTTATGGCTGTATTCCTATTTGTGCATTTTTCTGTCTCCCCACTACCTACAACCACTGTACTAACATCAGTGCTTCCACCAATATTTTTCTGGTGATATGTCAACACTGTTCCCCGAAGCATCGTCCCTTTCATTCTATCTCCAGCAGTATTGCTACTGCTTAATTTAATATCAATTGTGATTGCTTGCTTAAGGTACATACACGACCCAAGGGACCATTTTTCCACAGATTACATCCAGTCCAAGCAAAACCTCGCCCGTTATTCTTGCTGCAGATTACATAGGTTTGTATGACGGTAGTTTATACTGTAGATTGTCTGCCCAAAATGTTTAGGCATGCTAGTGGCTTTCTTTGTATTTAATATCTTATAGTATGTAAACTTCACATTATAAGCTTTGCAAGGAAATAAAAAAATAATTTTCATAGTTTCAGTATCTCATACAACAATCTTTCCTCCTGCTACACCTTAACAGTTCTCTTGGGTAGGATGGCTTGAAAAAATTCTACATAATATTAATAATTGTATAGTTTTTACATATATATGTAATTTTCCAAAAATATTTTAAATTTTGCTCTTTCTCGTTCTTAATAATTATATTCTATAATTGTAATTAGTTTACCAGAACATGCTTTAGTTACTGTGCTGATCTATCCTCCAAGTATACTGCTAAGTGACCAACTGAAGCCTTGGCCTATTGAGAAGGATGAGCGTGTTACACGTGTCCACTGTACTACAAGGCTGACGACTTGGCTGAGGTTTAATGTAGATGAACTGCAACGGAATGTTGGTGTAGTCAGACCATGGAAAGATTCTTTGGCATGGCTATGATGATTGATTTTTTCAGCTCAGCCAAGATGCAATATGCCAACCCATTGCCAGATAACAATGTAACAAATAAGAGCAAGAACCTTTGTCTGCAGCTACTGAAGAAGCAGTCAAGGAGCTGTAAGAAGCTCTCAGCAAGTCAGATATTAGCCCACCATTGCTCTCTGTCCTCTCAGGGTACTGGGGGGACTATGCTCTAATAACTGTTGCTGTGGATCAACCTGAGCCTCAAACAACTTTGTAGAAGCCTCAAAACAGACAGCTCTGTTGCTATTATTATTATTGTCGTTGATGATGATGATGTTGTTGCTGTAGTTGCTATTGTACATATTCTTTTTTTTTTATATTTGATTAATATAATGTTTCGAAAATATTGCCTTCAGAAATATTTTCAGAACATTAAATGTAATACTGGCTACACAGGCGACTCTACTCTGTTGGCTTCCAGTTTCTCCGCCTCAATGTAGAATTCCGTCTTTCTCGTCTTTCTAAATCCATGGGGAACCTACTGGATGTTAGATATGGCACAACAACACAACAAGTATCATAGAAGCTTACAAAGATGGGAAAAATATCAAAATAGGCAAGGCATATATATACGTTTGTCATTGTGACTGGACGTCCAATATGGCGAGTCAGTGACCCGAGACGCCACATGCAGAATCTCAGTATTACACGAACTGTTTGCGTACACACTCAGCATGTTGGATTGAAGTTGTAAGAGGTTCATGACTGCTCAGATTTTTATATTTAACGCTAGAACAAAATTTATTTCATGAAATACTCCTGTACCTTAATATGAGTTGTGTTAGCATGACTACCAGTGCCTGTAGGTTACTTGTAGTCGCTTCCTGGGGTTACTGCCCCCCGCGACCCGGTCCCCCGCTGGCATGATCGACCAGGTTGATGGTGACATCATCTGCAGTCCAACGTACTCACCACATCCTCGCTGTTCGGGTACTGAATTAAGGAGCATGTTTAGTTCCCTCTTGAAGACTGTCAGAGGTTCATTGGTGATTCCCTGTATGCATAAAGGGTGGGTGCTGATGAGTGTCGGTCACCTTATACTTATTGCGTAATTTCAGTGTTTTCACGGTGCCCTTGTTATTCACTGGATGCTGGTGGATGGGTATATAATTCCAGGGACTTCTTTATGCGCTCCCAGTAATTAAAGTGAAGACTGAATATATATGAACTGTGAAGGATCTCTGTGCATTCTCCAGTTTTGGAATTTCGTCTGCCTAGAACACACAATATAGTGATAGAAATTTATTATTACTGCATTCAGTGGGAAATGCTAGACCCGTAGGGGCACACAACACCTTGGGGAATGGGAGGCAATCAAATCCGATCCAAGGCAAGGCAGGGTAACTCCAATTCTTTGGATCAAGAGCCTCACTTCAAGAGCGTTTGAAGTGAGGCTGGTAAAGTGCTCTTAATCCGAGGTATAAGAGCCACCTCTATCCTTCCTTGGATCAAACTTAATTACCTCACAATGAACTAGAGCTACCTATCGCCTGACTTGAGCTAAACCTCATTAGCTCCTAGTTTCCAGGTGTTGTGTGGCCCTTAATAGTTTAGCGCTTTCCCATGAGAATGATAATACTTACCACTAAATCGACTATAAAAAGAAGTAATGACATAGTTAAAGAAATACGGCTTCTGTTGTCCTTTTTATTTATTTTGACGAAACATTTAGAATACGCTGCTTATTTCTGGTCTTCATATTACAGAATGAACATTAATACGCTGAAAATTTTGTAGAGAAGGATGACGAAGCTGGTTCCGTATACTGGAAAGCTTTCCAACGAATATAGGCTGAAGGCAATGAACCTGTTCTCTCTGGAACGACGTAGGATTAGAGAAGATATAGTTAAAGTGTACGAGTGGAAAACAGGAGTATAAATAACGTGTTGAAATATCTAACCAAAAGAGGAATCACAGCAATGATTAAGTTTGGGAAGTGACTCCCAGGTAGGGTCACTGAGGCAAGATCCTCGGGTAGCTTCAGATATAGGTTGGAAGGATACTTGAGTGGGTGTGGGTGGATGTTAGCTGTACCTGCTTAGGAAGGGCCAATAAGCCTGCTGGGTTTAGCGCTTCTTTTTTATAATAATAATAATAATAATATAATAATAATAATAATAATAATAATAATAATAATAATAATAATAATAATAATAATAATAATAATAATATAGGTAGTAGGTTGGTAGACAGCAACCACCCAGGGAGGTACTACCGTCCTGCCAAGTGAGTGTAAAACAAAAGCCTGTAATTGTTTTACATGATGGTAGGATTGCTGGTGTCTTTTGTCTGTCTCATAAACATGCAAGATTTCAGGTACGTCTTGCTACTTCTACTTACACTTAGGTCACACTACATATACATGTACAAGTATATATATACACACACCCTCTGGGTTTTCTGCTATTTTCTTTCTAGTTCTAGTTCTTGTTCTTGTTTATGTCCTCTTATCTCCATGGGGAAGTGGAACAGAATTCTTCCCCCGTAAGCCATGCGTGTTGTAAGAGGCGACTAAAATGCCGGGAGCAAGGGGCTAGTAACCCCTTCTCCTGTATATATTACTATATTTGAAAGGAGAATCTTTCGTTTTTTCTTTTGGGCCACCCCACCTCGGTGGGATACGGCCGGTACGTTGAAAGAATAATAATAATAATAATAATAATAATAATAATAATAATAATAATAATAATAAGCTTGCTTGAGTGTTCCTTCGTTCTGGTGTTCCTGTGGAAGCAGTGTGTAGCTTACGCTCACGACGACAAACACAGTTATCATCCATGCAATTATTTTTACTTCATAACAATAGCCAAATTTTCAACGTTTTACTACTGTAGCAGCATAGCCTGAGACCAGGCTATCCTGAAGACTTCCTGACCAACCAAGCTGTTGTTGTCACATGCGACCTTATCATAAGCTCACATAGGTTTCACAGAGTGGTGAATCAGACATCCCATAATGAAACTTCAGTCTGTATTCTCCCTGTGAAGCCGTCTGCCTTGCCCACCATGCAAGCAGCTGGTTCTGACGGCAAAGCCATATCTTGCATTCTGCTGTTGCAAGATAGCATTATCTTTCAGTTAGACATAAACTGTCTTCACACATAAGTGCAACCCACCGCTACCACTGGCACATTTACCTGCGGTAGTCCTGTTATACTGTGTATGATTCTGATTAATGCTATTTGATATTAAAGATTTTTTATTAACAATTTTCATGCGATGCAGAACTTTGTTTTACTCTGAGAATGTCATTTAAAGCCTCATTATACAAGTAATTATAACTCTCACAGCTCAGGACACATTGTGTGAACCTGCCTATTGGAGGAAGCAATCACCTGTCTACTTACTGTTAAGGAGAGCCACGATGATCATGGTGATGACGAAGAAGGTCGTCTGCCCTGTTGTAAAAGAACTCAAGTTTATCTTATATCTAAATGTGTGTGAGGGAATGTATTAATACCTCTACCTGCTTACATGTACAAATGCATAAATACCTCTAGGCTGCCTATATGTATGATTGTATTAATGGCTTAGTTTTGCCTACATGCATAATAAGATTATTACCTCTGGAGTGCGGAAAATACCTGGGCCTGGACAAGACTGGCGAACCTACTACACTATAACATTGCTACTTATGGATTGTCCTTTGAGTGACTACATTAATATCTCTGCCTGCCTAGATGAATGGTCTTATTAACACCTCTACCATAATACGTCTGCCCTGGTAACAATCAGATTTGCCTACCTGATTGATTGTATTAATTCTCTGGGCTGAACTCAAGGCTAAGACAGACATTTGAACAGGATCAAGAAATGTTCCTCTGCATGTGAGTTATCTAAAAGTCTTCCTTTGGAGGGACCTTGATGCAGGTGAGAGGCTCTTGATCTAAGGAATTGGACCTCTGTTCCCCTTGGATAGAACCAGAATGTCTCCCATTTCTCTAGGTGTTGTATGACCCTTATGAGTTTAGCGCTCCCATGAATGTAAAAGTAATAATAATAATAATAATAATAAAATAATAATAATAATAATAATAATAATAATAATAATAATAATAATATCTATAGGTCTATGTACGTACGAGAGATGGTAGTGATGACCATCATGAATATGTGTCCGTACATAAGTAAACAATGACGATCATGATGAATGTATGTGTACGTACATGAGTCGGTGGTGACGGAGGTGAAGATAGTGATGAGTATCATGGCCAGCATCAGCAGTGACAGTGAACCCAGGATGCGAACTCCCTCGCGCACTCTACATTATGAGAACGTAACTATTAGTTCCTCCTTCTATATCTGAGTGCAAAATTTGTTTATATATCTCCAAAATACGATATTTATATGAACACATTCTATTTTAATAAATCTTTGAAAAAAAAAATAATTTAGTTAGTACTGTTAGGTAAACACGTATTGTGACGGAGGATCGAGCCTCGGTACTTGCGCTGAATGACCCGCATTTACTACTGCACAAAAAGCATCAAAAAATTAAGCAAACAATAGCTAATGATGAATATGTTCTTTGGTTCAGTAGTTAGCGGAAGTTTGTGTAAAATTTCCAACACTGTGAGAGTTGTGCAGCGGAAACATTTATATTCTGGTCTCTGTGAAAACACTGTAGTATTGTGGTAACCTAACTTAAACGTAACTCAACCTAACTGAACCCAACTTAAATTAGGAGTCAATCTAGGTTTGGTTAGGTTGGATTACATTACTTAAGATTAGGCTACCAAAGAATGCTTTCTTACAATTTGCACAAAATATGACTAGTTATTTTGCACAACCCACTTAAAGTTAGAGAATTTGCATAAAAGTAAACTAGGAGCTACATTCAGGTTTTACCTCTTGCTGTGTTCTCTTAAGCGATAATTATTTTGTTCATATTCTTGGCAGTGAATTGTTAGGTGTTAGGTGTTAGGTGTTAGGTGTTAGGTGTTAGGTTAGGTAAGATTTTTCAGGAAACAGGACAAGTGTTTCCTCACGCGGGTTTTAGTTATATGATGACCCGTCACTGAAGCTTTCAGTCATCTGACCGAGACCTTCCCCTCGCTTATCCGTCTACTCTTTTAAAAAATTTAAAAATTGATGTTTTATTCATCAGGAGACAAGACAAATGTCTCCTGACAACGGCGTTAATCATGTAGATAATCCAGATTATTATAAAAGTTATTAAAATAAATATATTAGTTCAGGAGAATAAGTCAGTTAGCTCGGGTGATACCAATGACCAAATGCAGCTGACTCTCGGGCACATTAATATCAGTGTAAAAAAAAAACTATCAGCTACAAATCTTTTAACTGTTTAAGTGTATGCAATAATACAATGAACAGCAACAATGAATAGTAGATTTAATGTGTCTAAGGCTGTCCAAAATGCCCTGCAAAACTAGGCTTTTTTTTTTTTTAGAGTAAGTTATATAAAGGTTATTGTAAATTATTATTATGTGAGCAAATTACCTGCATGAGGTTTACAGGGCATTACCTGAATTATTACGTGCAAATAATTTAGGTGAGATAAGTGGGACTTAAGTCACAGTAGGTTGCTGAACTGTGACTCCCTCGATGCACACTTCTTCACCACTCTCAGAAAAAGCTAGACCTGACATTAAATTAATAATTATAATATTAAAAGAAGCAACTCTGGTTAATTAAAGTTGTGGACTGTATATGATTAGGCTTCCTGTGTACATAAAGAAAATTCGTATTACCACTTCCCATTTAATTAATGAACGACATTTAATGCTGATGGAACACACCCTAACCTTACCCTAGCAGCTGGAATTTACAATAGCCAACACAAAAACTACTGTACATTATGGGTAAGCGTCACTTAGCTGAGGTGTGCTGGGAAAATTGGTGTTCTCTATTTTTTCGTCCTGGTTGCTGAATTGTAAGGGTTTTCCACATTTTCCCAACTCTTCAGCAGGAATGTGTCAGCAATTTCTAAATTACGGATTGAGGCCGATATACACCGACCTTCGAGAACGCCTGATTACATTGCACAATGCAGTCCAGTGTTCATACATTAAATTCATTATGGCGTCTCTCCAGTGTCACTTCCCCAGCTCTTCTGCATTCCCCCTCACTCGAAATTTCTCGAAAGATCAAAATAGCATCACATTTTAATACACAGTTATTATATTATTCGTTTATATGTTCTACATTTAGGAAATTATGTAAAAAATTTCTACACATGTCAACTAATATTATATAAATTTGATATTGTATCTTACTCTATAGAAATGAAGTTGTCCTTGTCTTGTTTATAATCACTAATACTGAGAGGCCCAGTAGCTGGAGCCCTACTTACAAGTGACAAACTATTATAAATGTGTTTAATTACATTATAATTTAAAAAGGTTACTTTTTACTAGTTTTAATTCTACTTTTCGTAGTTATATTAATTAATTTCTTGCTCTACAGTCGTTTAAAAAAACATTATTAGGCGTCCAAGTACCCAACGATGGCGGTAACTATAATAGTTTTCGGATTTCTTTTCTCATCTTTTTCTTCTCCCTGGTGAGGGGCTCTTGATCTAGGGAATTGGATCTGTGCTCCAGTTCCCTAAATTGAGCCTGAATACCTTCCATCCCCCCACTCCACCACAGGCGCTGTATAATCCCTACGGATTTAGTGTTCCCCATGATTATTATTATAATTATCTTCTCCCAGTCTTGATAGTACCACAAACTCTTCGAAAAGTTATTCTATTTAATTTTCTTGTGTTTGACTGGGATGAATTTCATCGCCTGAGTCTCCTCTCACTTGCGAGTGTTGATGTACAGTTCTAGGCCTCTGGAGAGTTAAGCTACAGGTATTTATTATTTCAATAAGAACATCACTATTGCATTTGGACAAAGAGGTGTGTTGGTTGTAGCACAAGACTTTCACAAAATGACGGTACAAAACAAAATATATATGCTAATATTCACACAAATTAAAATCTCAAGATAAAACGAAAGTCAAAACAATGAAAATTCCTGTAGCTTTGTACACCCCCCCCCCCCTAAACTTTCGTAAAATAAAAATTATAGTATCAATAAACAACAGAAACTAGACTTCTTATGTGAGTTAATTTAATACTCACGAGCTTCAAATTTTTGTTCTACAGCTCTTGGACATCTTGGGAGAGAGGAGCAATAACACCTAGGTTTATTGTTGAGCTGCAACTCCTATGCCAAATAAAGAGTTTTGCAATAAAGTTATTAGGCCTCTTGCATGCATTAGAGTAGAGGAGGCTGGGGTTATGTGATACAGAGAGGAATACCTCTTTCAGAATGCTGTTACTGTGGCATACTAAGAGTATGTTATATTTTATACGGCGTATGTCACATACCCATATAGGCTGCCTCCCGACCAGCAAACCAGGTGCTAAGAGTATAACGAGTAGGGGCCCCCATCGTTATGCTTGTACCTTGGTTCAACCAGCCAATAACAAGGAAACCTGCCAAAGTTGTGAAACAATGTGGGGACACTCGTGAATCAACAATGCCAGACTTATCTCCAAGCCTGGTTGAAGACGGTCTTCACCATGTCTCTTGCTTGCATTGCCTTATTGTACATATCCTCTCTATATATTGTACATATATTTCTTGATGTTTGGTGAAGGAAATGTAAGTATTTACTCTCTCGGCTGCCTTTTACTAGTTCCTACCGTGTTATCGTGCTACAACCAGGTGTGCAGGCCACCAGAATAAACCTGTATTCGTAATAATAATCTTATTTTTTGAAACGGTGGGCCGGTATGCCAATACCTCGGTCAGATGACTGAGAGCTCCGGTGGCGGGTCATCATATGACTAAGATCGGTGTCATGAAACACTTATCCTGTATCCTGACAAATCTTAGATAACCGAGACTAACGTCTGTCATATCGCATATCGACTGAACCAAAATTACTTTTTATTTATTTTGTAATTTTGAAATGTGGAAAAAACTGCATCCAGCAGGAAAAAACTTGCCTTCATCATATCTGCAGTGCTCCGCAATGTTAAGTGTGATAACCCCACAATTATGTGTTTAGTAAAATTGTCAGATTAATTAATAACATAAGAACATAAGAAAGAAGGAACACTGCAGCAGGCCTAGTGACCCATGCGAAGCAGGTCCATGTAGTCTCCCCCGATTAGCCCAATGACCCACCTAGTCAAGTCACTTCTACTTCAGGAAGGAGCACGGCATCAGATCTAGTAGCACAAGCTAGTCAGGTCCAACTCACACCCATCCACACCCACTCATGTATTTATCTAACCTATTTTTAAAACTACACAACGTTTTAGCCTGAATAACTGTACTCGGGAGTTTGTTCCACTCATCCACAACTATTACCAAACCAGTGCTTTCCTATATCCTTCCTGAATCTGAATTTTTCCAACTTGAAACCATTACTGCGAGTCCTGTCTTAGCTGGAAATTTTCAGCACGCTATTTACATCCGCTTTATTTATTCCTGTTTTCCATTTATACACCTCGATCATATCCCCCCTAATTCTACGCCTTTCAAGAGAGTGCAGATTCAGGGACCTCAGTCTATCCTCATAGGGAAGAGTTCTGATACATGGGATCATCTTTGTCATCCTCCTCTGTATGTTTTCCAGTGTATTTATATCCATTTTGTAATACGGTGACCAGAGCTGTGCAGAATAATCTAAATGAGGCCTAACCAAGGATATATAGAGTTGAAGAACAACCTGAGGGCTACTATTATTTATACTTCTTGATATGAAGCCAAGGATTCTGTTAGCTTTATTGCGAACACTGATGCACTGTTGTCTTGGTTTTAGAGTACTGCTAACCAGAACTCCTAAATCCTTTTCGCAATGAGTAGTATTAAGATCTGCATTATTTAGTTTATATGTGGCATGGTTATTTTTCTGTCCAACATTTAGAACTTTGCATTTGTCTATATTAAACTGCATCTGCCACTTCTCCGACCACTGCATCAGTCTATTCAAATCATCTTGGAGTGCTCTAGTGTCCTCATTAGAATGAATTGGACGGCCTACCTGGAGTTTACCTGGAGAGAGTTCCGGGGGTAAACGCCCCCGCGGCCCGGTCTGTGACCAGGCCTCCTGGTGGATCAGAGCCTGATCAACCAGGCTGTTACTGCTGGCTGCACGCAAATCAATGTACGAGCCACAGCCCGGCTGGTCAGGAACCGACTTTAGGTGCTTGTCCAGTGCCAGCTTGAAGACTGCCAGGGGTCTGTTGGTAATCCCCCTTATGTATGCTGCGAGGCAGTTGAACAGTCTCGGGCCCCTGACACTTATTGTATGGTCTCTTAACGTGCTAGTGACACCCCTGCTTTTCATTGGGGGGATGTTGCATCGTCTGCCAAGTCTTATGCTTTCGTAGTGAGTGAGTTTCGTGTGCAAGTTCGGTACTAGTCCCTCTAGGATTTTCCAGGTGTATATAATCAAGTATCTCTCCCGCCTGCGTTCCAGGGCGGGAGACAAATTTATTTATTTTATTATTTATTTTTTAATTGGACATGATACATAGTTGTACAAAGAAATACAGTGATTGGGTGTACATGCCAAAAGCCCCTTGTATGCAGAGCATTATGGGCAGGAGAATAATTTTTTTTTATATTTTTGCTAACACACATGTAAATATAAATAACACATTTTACCTTATTCCTAGTACATCTACTTTATAGTATAATACTAAGATATTATCTCCTTTATAGTATAATAATAAGGTATTAAAAGAACCCCAATGGAAATAAGTCACTTTGACTTTTTTGGGTTATTCCAGGTTCTCTACACATATGTTGTTTTTGTGTATACTTGAATAAACTTAATTATTATGAACCCCACTGAAAATCAATAAGAATGATCAGCTTCCTTGGAATATTTCGAATTTCTAACCTCCGGTTAATATGAACAAATACCGATCACCAAAACTAGTTGCTTGTACGTCCCCTAGTTAACGTTTACATAATATCCAACTCTAAAATTCTATATGTATTAACTTCAAATATAAAGTTTCATCAATATAAAGTCAAACCTTTGTGTCTGCACACCGAGGGTCGAGAAATCCTAGAGAAAGAGTTCATCAGCTGACTAATATATGCCATTATTCATGCCTATTTTGGTGTTATCAGCAAATTTGCTTATATCGCTATTTATTTCCTCAACTATGTCGTTTATGTAAATTGTGAACAACAATGGGCCCAACACTGACCCCTGCGGAACACCGCTTGTGACGTGCCCCCATTCTGATTTCTCCCCATTTATGCAAACTCTCTGCTGTCTATTTGTCAGCCATGCCTCTACCCAGGAAAAAATTTCTCCTCATATTCCGTGTGCCTTAAGTTTCCTCAATAGCCTCTGGTGTGGAACTCTATCGAAAGCCTTACTGAAATCCACATACATAATATCATATTCATTACCATGATCTACCTCCTCAAATACCTTAGTGAAAAAAGTTAGTAAATTCGTAAGACAGGATGCTTCTTCTGACAGGGTTCAAACTTTCAGCGCTGGTGTATCCTACACAAAGAGACTTGGCTTCTGATAGACTATACAGATGTCATTGTAATTTTGCTTGAAAAATAATGTGGTACATTTTTCCGTGCGATAACTTAAGAATACTTCATTAGAAAGGCTCCAAAGTTTTAAGTATCCTGTATCTCACCAAATGCATGTACAAATTTGTCAATATACTAACAAATTAAAGAAAATTAAAATTTTCATTGCTAGTGTACTTTGCTCAAAGAAAGATTTACATTACTGTTTAGTAATGTATGTCCAGTCGCGGTTATGTTAGCCAATTTAAATAAATTTGGATATTTATTTCCACATCATATCTTTTCATTACTTCTGATCTACTTCAAACATCTAATTCTGGTATATTTCTCATGGAAGGATACGGATTAGGTCTTGACTGTGCAGGTGCCAACTTTATTAAACAAATTTGAAGTGGTATCTGTGAAATAAGTAGAGAATACCTCTTCTGATCTGGACCTAACATGGTCTTATTGGTCCATGCTCGGTCCACCTCACACCCACCCTATATCCTTTAATGTTCCCGAACAACCTATATTTATAGCTACCTATAGGTCCCACCTCGTAGATGCTACCTGACTCAAAGTTTGTTCGACTCATCTACAGTTCGACATCTACCATAGCTGATAGATGAGACACTTGTGCAAGATTTGGGTATCTATATTCTGGAAACGTTTCGCCAGCCAGTGACTTCTTCAGTCCAATGCAGAGAAACCCATAGATAAATGAACCAAAACCACCCCTCTCTGGGTCTGACTGGCATCATGGTGATGGGAGTGTGCTGAATTAAAGCTCTTGGGCCTTTTATTATCTTCAGCTCTTGAACTTTTTGAAGGATTGAATTATAGCTCCAGATCTTTCGAGGGAGTTGAGCTGCAGCCTGTGTGCGTCTGAAAGGACTTCGAGCAACAACTGCTACAACTACAAGGCTGAGTTTGTGACACTGAGAATGCTTCACTAGGATCGCGCAGCAACGGAAACATATCTAGATTACATTAAAAAATATATAGGACATATATGAGATATGACGCACATGGTATAAACACTAAGAGGTGAATATTTATCGTTGTATGAACACTTTGCAATTACATTAATCTATATTCGAGGTAATAATTTAGGACAGGTTAGGTAAGATTTTTCAGGGAACAGGACAAGTATTTAATAACGCTGGTCCCAGTCACATGATGACCCGCCACTGGAGCTTTTGGTCATCAGACCGAGGCCTTCCGCCGGTTTACTGGTCTACTCCTTTAAAAACTAAGGTTATAATTATAGTAATAGTATTAATGAATACTTGATGGTAATGTCTATGTGATCAGTAGCATAAACTAGATCACGCGTCGAGTAGACGATGAGAATATTTTAAAATGATCATCAATGGTATAATTCCAGTGTACGTAAATGTTCTTCGTGAGATTAGTCACGAGGGAGCATTCACCAAATTCAACTTCAATAACAAAAACATAAAGTGGGACCAAGTAAACCAAGTCCTAACCGATATAAGCTGGGAAGATATACTAAGCAACACAGACCCCAACTTATGCCTAGAACAGATTAACTTGGTGGTACTCGATGTATGCACAAGGCTTATTCCTCTAAGAAAAAGGAGGAGTAGATGTAAAATAGAAAGAGACAGGTGCTCCCTTTACAGGCGACGGAAAAGAATAACAGAGCGGCTAAAAGAGGTCAATATATCTGAAATGCGTAGGGAGTCACTGGTCAGAGAAATAGCAAACATCGAACTTAAGGTTACAACCCCGTGGGCGTGAGGTGATGCATCGTTTTTTGCATGGGATTTTACCGTCGGGTGTGGTTTTACAGGCTAGACGGGTGGTTGAGGGGGGGGGTTCTGTGGAATATGTGGAGGGGAGGATTCTGCGTTCCACGTAGTGTATTTTTGTGAGGGGATGGGGAGCGTCAGGGGTTGGTTGAGCAGGGTGCTGCATAGGATAAGAGGTAAAAACATTTCTGTTCTGCGGGCATTAAGTCTTGACGTGGGGGGGTATGGATGAGAGTATTATTAGGGCTGTGGAGTACATTATGGTAGATTATGTGTACATAACGTGGGGAATGAGGGGGAAAGGGGTCAGTGAGGTGAAGAGGCGGGTATTGGCAGTTACGTTTTATAAAACGTTGTGCCGTAACAGAGAAATTTATGGGAGAAAGTGGGAGCGGGCTTTCTCAGAGGGATATAGAGAACTAACATTAGAGGTTTTATTAAATTTGTAAATTAGGTGGGAGGGGCAGGGTAGGGATGGTAAATGCATCAGAGTACAAAACAAATTCTGGCCACAAAATAGAGCGAAACACCAACGTCAAAGACCTGGGAGTGATCATGTCGGAGGATCTCACCTTCAAGGACCATAACATTGTATCAATCGCATCTGCTAGAAAAATGACAGGGTGGATAATGAGAACCTTCAAAACTAGAGATGCCACGCCCATGATGACACTCTTCAGGTCACTTGTTCTATCTAGGCTGGAATATTGCTGCACTCTAACAGCACCTTTCAAGGCAGGTGAAATTGCTGACCTAGAAAATGTACAGAGAACCTTCACGGCGCGCATAACGGAGATAAAACACCTCAATTAATGGGAGCGCTTGAGGTTCCTGAACCTGTATTCCCTGGAACGCAGGTGGGAGAGATACATGATTATATACACCTGGAAAATCCTAGAGGGACTAGTACCGAACTTGCACACGAAAATCACTCACTACGAAAGCAAAAGACTTGGCAGACGATGCAACATCCCCCCAATGAAAAGCAGGGGTGTCACTAGCACGTTAAGAGACCATACAATAAGTGTCAGGGGCCCGAGACTGTTCAACTGCCTCCCAGCACACATAAGGGGGATTACCAACAGACCCCTGGCAGTCTTCAAGCTGGCACTGGACAAGCACCTAAAGTCGGTTCCTGACCAGCTGGGCTGTGGCTCGTACGTTAGTTTGCGTGCAGCCAGCAGTAACAGCCTGGTTGATCAGGCTCTGATCCACCAGGAGACCTGGTCACAGACCGGGCCGCTGGGGCGTTGACCCCCGGAACTCTCTCCAGGTAAACTCCAGGTAGAGTCAATTGTATCCATTTTTATTTCAGTAAGTCTAAGGTTTTTTTTTACACTTTTTTCCCCCTGAATGTTACTTCTAGTGGGACTGGAATTTCTCGCACATTCACAGATCTGACCAGCCGGGCTATGATTCGTACGTCGGGGTGCGTGCGGCCAACAGTAACAGCCTGGTTGATCAGGCACTGATCCACCATGAGGCCTAGTCACAGACCGGTCCGCAGGGGCGTTGACCCCAGGAACTCTCTCCAAGTATACTCCAATCAGTGTTTTCCCAGGATACGACCTACACCGGCCACTTAACACCCAGATACCTGTTTACTGTTGGTTGAATAGTAGGATTATAAAAAACTGATGCCCAACGTGTATGTCGTTTCGTCAATTATAGTAATGATTGAAGACTTTATTCGGATTAGTAACCCCGGAGGGTTGATAACTCAATAAAGTCAGGAACATATCTTATTTTCATAGGAGGTATTTTTAGGTACTCTCCATGATACGGCTTTAAACATTCGACTAACTGTTAGTTAACAAAGAGTAGTAGGTGTCTGGAGACTTATTTCCCGCCCATGATTCGATTCAGACGCTCTGGGTTGTGAGTCGAACGCACAATATGCGCTCACGATAATATAAACCCAAGAGCTTACTTTTTGACGACAGCGGAGTTGATGATGAAGAACACCACACTGAAGACGTTTGAGACGATGACCAGAGTTGGCATGAAGGACTTCTGCAGCGGAGTGAGGGAAGCGTCAGAGGCATCCCACTCCTCTCCCAGACTCACGTTCCTCAACTTATATTGCCAATACTGCGAAGAGAGACGAGCTAGTTGGTTGGTTTAATGGTCCTGAAGTTTATCGAATATTCATGTCACCTTTTCACCGCCAATCTAGAACAGGGGGTACCGGGTGTGGACGTGTGAATGACTCATTACGTGTAGATGGTTAATTACCTTTGTAACTTGTCATGATTGTGACCAGGTGTACCTGGAGTTCATTACCTTTGTAAATGGTTCAGCTATCAAAACTCTGGGGTCCAGTCCCTGGACCCATTATGTACCTCTGTGATCTTCTGACTACCACCCACTGGATGGGTATGATGGGGTGCATAATAAAGACATTAAATCTAAATTAAACTAACTAAAGTAAGGTCTCAGCGTACATACTTCCCGGTGTATGTACCCTGTGTGAGAGACTGAGACAAGTTTATTCAAAATTATCAAATTGTTCTACCATTAACTGAGGCAGAAACAAGGATAAAGGTTATTAAGCCACAGCTTCTTCACTGGTAAGTGGAGAGATATACAGGGATACGTCTTGGTATAAATATATAAAATACAGGGCAGAAAGTTTTATCAAGACATAATTACTTTGAGCGATGCGTAGCTGTTTGTTTTGAGAACTCTTCTTCTGATCGACTTCAACTTTTAATGCTACTGGACTATAAATAGGGGAAAATTCATGTAACTTTTTGAAGGCAGGAGGCCTTTTAGTAATTGTTTAAAGGCACTCCTGATTATGGCAGCAATGTGATAACTTGAGAATGCCTCTTCTGATCGACTAAAACTTCCAACAGTACGAAGCCTACGAATAAGAAGGTTCTAATAGTTATTGGAGTGTTTAAGTGCCAATTTTAATATTTTATTTAAAAATGTAGAGCATTTTTTATCTGACATAAAATGAAAAATGCCTCTTCTGATTGGCTTGAAACTTTCCTCGAAGGAAAATACACCTATTTGCCAGTTTATTATACTGGGATACTAGTTACTGTGTGCTAACTGGATACAGTAATTAATCAATCCTAATTAAAATATTCGTTGTGTAAGAATGGTATATAATACCGACAAGATGAAATTAAGATACATGTGCAACATCTGGGTATCTTTATTGTAGACGTTTCGCCATCCAGTGGCTTTATCAATACAAATTCTAGGACATAACTTGAAGACAGTAGAACTATGTACAGAAGATGAGGTGATCAGTCCCTCAACCTAGTCCCTCAACGTGGAGATTTTCAAAATCTCCACGACTACGGTGCTGTTCGCACCTACTGCTAGGTTGAGGGACTGATTACCTCATCTTCTGTACATAGTTCTACTGTCTTCAAGTTATGTCCTAGAATTTGTATTGATAAAGCCACTGGATAGCGAAACGTCTACAATAAAGATACCCAGATGTTGCACATGTAAAATATTCGTGTCTGGTGATTTACAGATGTCACTTAGCCTAATTTTTCTTTGTTTAATGATACCTAAATTATATACTTTTTACTAAATACATAAAAAAGTAGATTAAAAAGTCATTAAAGATGTCTTCATAGTTATTAATAATATTTTCACAGCATTTTATATTTAAAATCTTTTATTTAATATTTTATCCATTAATTTGATATGGAAATATAAACACATATGCAGAATAATGTGTTCCATTATTGACAACGTTTCTCCCACGTAGTAGACTTTATCAAGTCACAAACAGATCTGTTTGTGACTTGATAAAGCCCACTACATGGGCGAAAAGTTGTCAATAAAGGATCGCATTATACTGCATATATGTTTATATTTCCATTATGTCGGTATTTTATACTATTTATTTCCATTAATTTCATATGCCTATACCGGAACGACTAGAATAATTAATATTAAGTATTAAAGAGGCGGACTGGTAAGCCAGTAGAAGGCCTCGGTCAGATGACCGAAAGTTTTAACTGCGTGTCATTATGTGACTCAGACCCGCGTCAGGCAACACTTGCCTGTTTCCTGACGAATCTCGACTAACCTAACCGGACTGACTGGATATATACATTGAAAGATGAAATTCTCTCATACTCTCTGCTGAGAGTATACTTTAATCTTTAACTTAGGGATTAAAATATTTTCATAGGGTAATGAAAAGGTAACCTGGCAGCCTTAATGACCCTAATGTAGTCGATAGGCTATAAACCACGTTAGCCAACCAACCGGACTGACCTAACCTATGCTAACCTATGGGTCATCCATATAATTAAGACCCTTGTCAGGAGGCACTTCTGTCTCCTGATATGGATGTGTTTACCTAAGTAAACATGCCACTTGTTCCATATATTTGGTCCCCGTTATCGCACGGAAGTGTTGAATATTTGAAGGCTGTTGGATAATTCGTTCTTCAGTTATGAGCGGAATGGAATCGAAAAGTTGGAGGAAGAAAAAAAAAGTCAGACAACTAGACTAACAATATTCTTGCAAGTCATTTACCATATCTGCAGTTATGAAGAAATTCCATGGTAGCATCGTCGAAATGCCAAGTGCATAAAATACGAGGATCACTATGACCGGTCTGAAAGGAAAAGAAATATCTATATTATCATAATAATAATTATGATTATTTAAAAATAATATTATTGTTTAAAGTAATAATAATGAGATGATTAATATAAAATTTAGTTGTACTGGCAACACGGGTGAAACGTCGGGCATGCTTCCTGCTGCCACTGTTCACCTAGCAGTACGTACCTGAGGCGGCTAAAATGCCGGGAGCAATGGGCTAGTAACCCTTTCTCCTGTAAACATTTACTAAAAAAGGGAAGAAGAAAAACTTTATAAAACTGGGATGCTTGAATGTGCGTGGATGTAGTGCGGATGACAAGAAACAGATGATTGCTGATGTTATAAATGAAAAGAAGTTGGATGTCCTGGCTCTAAGCAAAACAAAACTGAAGGGGGTAGGGGAGTTTCGGTGGGAAGAAATAAATGGGATTAAATCTGGAGTATCTGAGAGAGTTAGAGCTAAGGAAGGGGTAGCAATAATGTTGAAGGATCAGTTATGGAAGGAGAAAAGAGAATATGAATGTGTAAATTCAAGGATTATGTGGATTAAAGTAAAGGTTGGATGCGAAAAGTGGGTCATAATAAGCGTGTATGCACCTCGAGAAGAGAGGAATGTAGAGGAGAGAGAGAGATTTTGGGAGATGTTAAGTGAATGTATAGGAGCCTTTGAACCAAGTGAGAGAGTAATTGTGGTAGGGGACCTGAATACTAAAGTAGGAGAAACTTTTAGAGAGGGTGTGGTAGGAAAGTTTAGGGTGCCAGGTGTAAATGATAATGGGAGCCCTTTGATTGAACTTTGTATAGAAAGGGGTTTAGTTATAGGTAATACATATTTTAAGAAAAAGAGGATAAATAAGTATACAAGATATGATGTAGGGTGAAATGACAGTAGTTTGTTGGATTATGTATTGGTAGACAAAAGACTGGTGAGTAGACTTCAGGATGTACATGTTTATAGAGGGGCCACAGATATATCAGATCACTTTTTAGTTGTAGCTACACTGAGTGTAAAAGGTAGATAGGATACAAGAAGAATAGAAGCATCAGGGAAGAGAGAGGTGAAGGTTTATAAACTAAAAGAGGAGGCAGTTAGGGTAAGATATAAACAGCTATTGGAGGATAGATGGACTAATGAGAGCATAGGCAATGGGGTCGAAGAGGTATGGGGTAGGTTTAAAAATGTAGTGTTAGAGTGTTCAGCAGAAGTTTGTGGTTACAGGAAAGTGGGTGCGGGAGGGAAGAGGAGCGACTGGTGGAATGATGATGTAAAGAGAGTAGTAAGAGAGAAAAAGTTAGCATATGAGAAGTTTTTACAAAGTAGAAGTGATGCAAGGAGGGAAAAGTATATGGAGAAAAAGAGAGAGGTTAAGAGAGTGGTGAAACAATGTAAAAAGAGAGCAAATGAGAGAGTGGGTGAGATGTTATCAACAAATTTTGTTGAAAATAAGAAAAAGTTTTGGAGTGAGATTAAAAAGTTAAGGAAGCCTAGAGAACAAATGGATTTGTCAGTTAAAAATAGGAGAGGAGAGTAATTAAATGGAGAGTTAGAGGTGTTGGGAAGATGGAAGGAATATTTTGAGGAATTGTTAAATGTTGATGAAGATAGGGAAGCTGTGATTTCATGTATAGGGCAAGGAGGAATAACATCTTGTAGGAGTGAGGAAGAGCCAGTTGTGAGCGTGGTGGAAGTTCGTGAGGCAGTAGGTGAAATGAAAGGGGGTAAGGCAGCTGGGATTGATGGGATAAAGATAGAAATGTTAAAAGCAGGTGGGGATATAGTTTTGGAGTGGTTGGTGCTATTTTTAATAAATGTATGGAAGAGGGTACGGTACCTAGGGATTGGCAGAGAGCATGCATAGTTCATTTGTACAAAGGCGAAGGGAACAAAAGAAAGTGCAAAAATTATAGGGGGATAAGTCTGTTGAGCATACCTGGTAAAGTGTATGGTAGAGTTATTATTGAAAGAATTAAGAGTAAGACGGAGAATAGGATAGCGGATGAACAAGGAGGCTTTAGGAAAGGTAGCGGGTGTGTGGACCAGGTGTTTACAGTGAAACATATAAGTGAACAGTATTTAGATAAGGCTAAAGAGGTTTTTGTGGCATTTATGGATTTGGAAAAGGCATATGACAGGGTGGATAGGGGGTCAATGTGGCAGATGTTGCAGGTGTATGGTATAGGAGGTAGGTTACTGAAAGCAGTGAAGAGTTTTTATGAGGATAGTGAGGCTCAAGTTAGAGTATGTAGGAAAGAGGGAGATTATTTCTCAGTAAAAGTAAGCCTTAGACAAGAATGTGTGATGTCACCGTGGTTGTTTAATATATTTATAGATGGGGTTGTAAGAGAAGTAAATGCGAGGGTCTTGGCAAGAGGCGTGGAGTTAAAAGATAAAAGAATCACACATAAAGTGGGAGTTGTCACAGTTGCTCTTTGCTGATGACACTGTGCTCTTGGGAGATTCTGAAGAGAAGTTGCAGAGGTTGGTGGATGAATTTGGTAGGGTATGTAAAAGAAGAAAATTAAAAGTGAATACAAGAAAGAGTAAGGTTATGAGGATAAAAAAAAGATTAGGTGATGAAAGGTTGGATATCAGATTGGAGGGAGAGAGTATGGAGGAGGTGAATGTATTCAGATATTTGGGAGTGGACGTGTCAGCGGATGGGTCTATGAAAGATGAGATGAATCATAGAATTGATGAGGGGAAGAGGGTGAGCGGTGCACTTAGGAGTCTGTGGAGAGAAAGAACTTTGTCCTTGGAGGCAAAGAGGGGAATGTATGAGAGTATAGTTTTACAAACGCTCTTATATGGGTGTGAAGCATAGGTGATGAATGTTGCAGCGAGGAGAAGGCTGGAGGCAGTGGAGATGTCATGTCTGAGGGCAATGTGTGGTGTGAATATAATGCAGAGAATTCGTAGTTTGGAAGTTAGGAGGAGGTGCGGGATTGCCAAAACTGTTGTCCAGAGGGCTGAGGAAGGGTTGTTGAGGTGGTTCGGTATTACAACCCAGGAGTCCAAATGGCCTGTTATCCTGGGTGTAAAGGGAGCAAAATAAACACAGCAGAAAGGTTTTGGCTTATATTATCCTTCACCAATTTAGAACAGCAATATGTACACTATATACACTCTGTACAGTGATAGGTATTAGTGCACTCCAGCTCTAGAATGGGAATGACAAGGGCAGACAGGAGAGTGGTACCCATATAACCTCTGTGATTGCCAAAACCATCTTCTTATTGGCTGGAACCTGGTAACTAGTTGAACGACGGGGCCCCATCATCAACTCTTAGTTACCTGGTTTGCTGGTTGGGGGAGATAGCCTTTAAATGAGGGTGTGTACATGCACCGAATAAAGGTTACGCACTCTTTGCATGCCACACCCCCACCCCGAGAAGGCTCAGGATTAGGCTGCCACCTCCCAGTGGTAACCATGCCGCCATGGCACAAAATAATGGGACTGCCTTTCCTCTCCACCATCCAACTCTTAGATATTATTATTATTATTATAATCAAGGGGGAAGCGCTAAACCCGGAGGATTATACAGCGCCTGGGGGGGGATGTGGAAGGCATTCAGGCTTAATTCGGGGAACTGGAGCACAGATCCAATTCCCTAAATCAAGAGCCCCTCACCAAAATCAAGGAACCTTCCTTGAGGGGAACTCTTAGATAGAGCTCAGCTTTTCTCGTGACCAAAAGCCAAACCCTAAACTCGTAGTGAGACAGCAGTCAGTCGGGCTAGCATAGGTCAAAGATACAGGCAGACAGTAGCCCGCATCCCCTCACTAAAAAAAAAAAACCACACCAGGGGATAAAAAAAAAGAGCTTGAAAGGGGTTACCACAAGTAACCTAACATCCTAACCTATTAAATAATATAATTAGACTCTAGATAATGAGTCTGCCAACATATTTTCTTTGCCGGCAATATGTTTAATTTTGATACAATAGGGTTGCAATCGTAAAGCCCAACGCATGAGCCTTGTGTTGTGGTTCTTCATGGCTTGGAGATATACTAGAGGATTGTGATCACTCTAGACAGTGAACACCTGCGATGTCTGGCCCACATAAACATCGAAATGCTCCAAAGCCAGTACCAGCGCGAGGGCTTCCTTTTCAATGGTAGAGTAAGCCCTCTGATGCGGCTGGAACTTGGACAAAAAAAAGGCTACAGGCTGCAACTCCTCGTTCCCGTTTTGCAATAATACTGCCCCAACCCCAGACTCACAAGCATCAACCTGTAATGAAAAAGGTTTGGAGAAGTCTGGAGACAAAAGAATGGGTGCAGTACACAATAATCTTCTTGCTTTGTCAAAAGCATTTTTACAGTCTGGGGTCCAATTAAAGGGAACTTTGTGACTAGCAAGAGAGGTAAGAGGGGCTACAATATCTGAGAAATTCTTACAGAATCTTCTGTAAATTCCTATCATGTCTAGGAAACGTTGAAGATATTTCCTATCATGAGGAACTGGATAATCTTTAATAGCAAGAACTTTAGGAAGTTTAGGAGCAACTTTACCACTACCTACTTCATGGCCTAGAAAAGTGACAGTGGCCTGGCCAAAGGAAGATTTGGATAAATTAACAGTTAAATGGGAACTCTGAAAGGTCTCAAAAAGAGCCTTAAGTCTAAATAGGTGTTGATCCCAAGTATCAGACACCACAACAATATCATCTAGGTACGCTGCCGTGCCTTCAAGTCCTTTAATAGCCTGATGGATAAGTTTCTGGAATGAAGAGGGGCAGTTTTTCATTCCGAAGGGGGTAACTGTGTATTGATAATGACCCCCTGGAATTACGAAGGCAGAGATTTCCTTCGCCTTATCCGTCAAAGGTACCTGATAGTAACCTTTAAGGAGATCTAACTTGGACACAAAAGTAGCCTTACCCACAAAGTCAATTACGTCATCCAGACGAGGAAGAGGGTAAGCATCTGTAATTGTGACCTCATTCACCTTACGGTAGTCTGTACACATACGAAACCCTCCATCAGCCTTCTTAACAAGGATGCACGGT